ATCTCCAGCTTCCTGGTGGAATCATGATCACAGACCTTTAGACTTACCTCCAAGTGGTGCACCCTGGGCAACGGCAAAAAAGTCTATCAACTGGCAGTTGATTTCTCACTTCAAACTACCAACATCCCCCACTGTGTGTCATATTCGACTACTTCCACAGTACTCACCATTCATTTTTTCTACCTTCGCCTTTGAAATGCTCTTCTGTTCACCCCACCCCCCCTCTCGAATTGTTTTTACTTTGATGTTCCTTCCCCTCTGTGAAGCCTGAAGTCAACTAAAGGGCTAATGATAACTATCAAAACACCTGCCATCTGATATAAATAAATGATCACAGACCAATCGACCAAATTACAAATGCCTAATTGTGGTAAACATTGATATTACTAACTCCAGTATCTCAAAGCGTACGCAACAGATAAATTAGAAATTTTGGGATATTTCTTTTATGTTATTCTGTAAGATTTAATCATTCAGGGAAATGCAAATTCAAACATTATTTCCAAATATTGCCTACCACCCAGGCTGCAACACGAAATTCGACCACCAAATTGAAATCAGGTAAAGCCAATAAGGGGCAATAAAATTCATAAAACATTTCCAATTTTTTATGTTCTCTGCTATTCAAGTAAGTTTGCTGTTGCTTGATTAGTAATGTGTGCGTTGTAAACAAGGCCACAAAAATGGAAACCTTTGGCGTCAACATGTAAATGAAATATTGACCATGTTTGGAATTGGGGCAACAGGTGAAATACTGCAGGATAAATTAAAGGTCAATTAGGCTAATGGAAATTCTTTTATGTAGATTTGAAGGTGGGTCGAAATTATTGACAAAATATGTTCAAGTACAATTACTGAATCGATGCAAAGAAGATCATTCGGTACACAAAATAGAGATCTTCTTTCTTAGAGGCTTTAGCCGATGGTGATTCATATTAAATCTCATTAGTTTATCCAAAATGGCGTCTCACTAACTGCAAAAAATGGAGTGGAGACACTTAAACTCCTCTCATCTCAAGTTCTCGCTTTTTTTCTGCAATCAAACAGACTTTAATTGGATTGGGAAAATGGCGATTAGGAGAAGGAAAGCCTACGCTCTTGAAAAGTAATACCTACAACTTGACTTAAAGACCAGGTCCCAAACAAAAGAAATCAAAAACCGCAAGAGATAGGGTTTATAGAAGTGAATTGTAGCTGGAATCAAGTGGAAATTCAGGCTTCAATACGATGGTCCATAAATTTACCCCTTCTCCCTCAGTAAGTTAGCGAAATTATGTCTTTCGTAGGAGACTAAACTCAAACATAGTTACAAAGAATGATAAGGCAGCTTAACAGTAAAAAAGAACGTTTTTGCCCCGTCAATGGTAATAAAAATTAAACTTAAGGAAGATAAATTATTACTCAAGGCCATGGAAATTAGACTAATCATTTATTCGCAACCGTATGAAAAAAATGAGATGCACATTAAAATAGATTAAAACAATAGAATATGCTTCAGCAAGTGGTAGACTTACTGACAAATCGGAGATCAGATTTCATCCGTTCTGAGTGCAAGGTTGGAACAAAATGAGAGTAAAGGTGTATCAAATGAGGAACTCGTTTCAAGATCATAGGAATTTGATCTTTCTCGTAGCCCTTTGCATCTTCAATAATTTGTTCCACCTGTTTCAATAACATAACCACGGCTTTGCTGATCTAATGCATGAACACCTTGTATTAACCAGATAATTTAGAATGAAATCAGTAAAACAAGTGATAGAAAACTTACAAAGCACTCTGGAAACTCCAAATTCACATTTTGAAAGAGTTTTGAGAGTACGACCTCTTCCAATTGACTTTCAGACATTCCTTTTGAAATATTTTCCTTTGAACTCTCGTGATCATCATCACAGCCACCAACCTAAGTACTACTTAAACATAAATTAGCAGATAGTTGCCTTAATAAGGGAAGTGAGATTTGCTTCATCAGATAAAACAGTAACAAGGGCTTGAGCGTAAACTTGATCCTGATGCTGGATTGTGAAACGGTCAAGATTTTCGACAAAATCTTCAAGATATTCCACGGTTTTTGAATCAAAATATCCCAAATCTTTTCCAGTCGATATAATAGGTGATATTGCACCTTTGGTAACAAGGAGGATCTAAAACCAGAATTTGAATTTTTGGAATCCCTGTACCTTAGAAACCGCTTCTTCGTCACATTCAACAATTGACTCGTTTAAAGAAGTCAAAGAACTTGACAAATTCGGAAGAAAGCAGCTTTCAACAAGCAATTCAGCCAATTGCATATTGAATGGGCCCGGTGAGGAACGACAAAAGTCAATCAACAAACGGTCACCTTCGCATCTCAATCCAAAGAAAACAGCAGAAAGCTTTTCAAATGCAGATTTTAAGCTTTCACAAGAATCGTAGATAAGATTCAAACCATCTTTATGTTCATCTTCAACTGAAAGTAGCTGGAGGCACCAGAGTTCTTCTTTTTCAGAGGAGAAAGACTGATCCACCTTTCACAGGAAGGAGAAACATAACATAGAACCCTTTAATTCAACAAATCAAGACAACTCAAACCCTACTACTACTACTTACATTTAATATAATGTTCTGATGGTCATCCATTTTTTTAGACGTGATATAATTCAACCAAGGCATGAAAATCACCTCCCAGATTCTTCTACCGGTTGATTGAACTAGTTTCTAGAGGAATCGAAATGCTACTTATAATAATAAAGTACCTCAATTTCGTGAAGGGCATCAGCAAGATTAATTAAACTTTGTAGATCATCGGTCTTTCCAATAAGCTCAAATTTTCCCAGTATCGATTTCTCTTTCGGTTCTGGCACAATTCGCACCATATTCGACCAGTAGTGTTCTAAAAACTCGCGGAGAATCCGCTAAAAGCGAGATTCAAGGTTATAAAGAAGAAATAATGCCAATTGTAAACAAAGGTAGCACATTTGACTTACCTTTTTTCCAAAAAAAGTTCCCATGAACGCCTGATAGATGGCAACTTGTGATTTTTCATAAAATGTACGGACATTCAGGAGGCTTTCAACTCTTTTGATAGCATTGACGATTTCACGAACCTCTAATCTAAAGAATGAGAAAGAATTAGAGTACTTAAAGAGGATTTAGTTAAGTGATTGTCGAACATACTCGATGGCTCCACAACTGACAGGAATGTCAATTTTCCAAGCATACGGGTAGTTATCAACACCAAACTGTATATCATCGGAATTGTCACTGTCGTCAAGATCTACATTAAGATCTAGGTTGTGACAGAGATGCTCGATTTGATTGCGAGCACTACAAATTCGAAGCAGAGAGGTAGTACAAGCATCAAGAGATTGAATAGCGTTGTGAATGTCTAAAAGATGCTGAAGACTTTTGCAGGTTTTCAGAAGGTCTTCTAACTTCTGAACTGCCTGAGAATGAACCGAAGATGGACTTCCTTCAAATGATAGCTCATCAACGCTAGCTTTCAGATCATTCAGATTTGGCTTAATCTACAAGGCAAAATTATAAAAGTAAATACGAAAGATTATTAAAGCATGCAATAAATTACCTTTGTATGGTATTGCGAACTAAGTTTGTTGATATCAGCCTGTAGAACAACAAGATCTACAGAATTTTCGACAACTTTAGAAGTAATTGGTCGACAATAATAATGATATTCAGACAAATTAGTAGAGACTGACTCCTCCAGTGACTTAAGTCGAGAATAAATTTCTTTGAGCGAAAAACCGAAGGCTGTGCCACTTCTGTACTCCGATAGAAAATCAGAGTCTACGTTTGAAGAATCAGTCTCAGTTTCTGTATCTACGGGAAATATTTTTTGATATAATTATTTATTACATACAAAAAAGTAAATACATAATCAAATACAATAGAAGTAGACAAGAAATAAATTAATATTAACTTTAACTGAACCAATGAATTGAAGAGGAAATATATGTATATGGAATCATAAATATATTATGAACTTTGACTTAAAACACACTTTTCGAAACGCAAATCGACATTTGAACGTAACGCCTTATGTGAAGTACAACCAGTGAATATATTAAGTTCACCAAACAATTACAAAAGACTATCTTTAGATTAAATTTATCGCATTTTTATTCATTCAGTATTAAAAAGTAGTATTTATTTGCAAAACTAACAATAGTTGCGATTCGGAACTACTTTGAGACTAAGAGAAATGTTGTTGACAAATAATAAGTGCAAGAACTATGTTAAATGTACCAATTATACTGATAAATACCAACAAGCGTAACTTTGAAAATGAGTATTGGTATACTATTAAGTCTTTTGTATATGTCGAAGATTGCTTTAACTTTCCTAATTTTGCTGACCTCCTTAAAGAAAATAAAATCAAGAGCTATTATTAACCGTATTCGGTTCGTCCAAAACGGTTAAACTATAAGCCCACTCAAGTTTTAAGCACATGGAGACCACATTGTCTATGTAAAAAATCGAAATTGAAAGAAATTTGAGGAAATCGTGTAAGTTCAGATTGGGTTTAAAAGACTATGTAACAAGAAGAAAACACTTCTTCAATATCTCTTTTATTCGGTTCGAACAGAAAGACTTGTATAAGCCACGATAGCCTACAAGAAAGGAAAATGCTATTAATCGCATTATCAGAGATGCAACCGAAATGTAAATACAAAAATTAAAAAATCGACAAGGTTTATTTAACTAGTGGTGCCAATTGGCCTAAAAATCTAAGTATATTAGGAACTGAATGAGGGCCACGAATCTTTTCTATTATTTCATCCCTAAATTTATTTCTCCAATCAAGATTGAGTTCAATCAGCCTTATTTTCTAAAACTGACTGAATTGAGCAAAAATATTCTCTGCAACTTTAAAATCATGAAAGTATCGTCCTTCTGCAATCTTGCAGGAAAGTGTTGACAGCCTCTAGTGATGACTCTGAAACTCTAAAAATGGGAACACCAATGCCATCTTTTCGTCAAACTCGACGGTACACATTCCTTTGTAATCAAGATAATCTTGACTTTGGGTCTAGGACATGGCAAACTTATAAATTCGAAACTGATAGAGGCCCTATTCCGAAAGTAGCCCGTAGGGGAGTGCTACACTAGTAAGCCTTGATATATGCTCAGTAATCACCCTTAACGAGTTCTCTCAGTTTGCAATGGTCCCAAGGATTAGTCAATCTACCGCTAAGCTATAAAGGAAATAGGCGTATGGCGTGTAAACATTTTTTGGTCGTTTGTCACTGACAAGGATCTTTGTAGCGGATTGCTACACAAATAGGCCTTGACTTATGCTCAGTAATCTCTATAGTAAGACGCCCTAGCTTGGAATGGCTAAAGGAACTTGAATACCCTACCTCAAAGATACAGAGGAAGCAGGCGCTTGACGTGGGTCACGTCGGTTTGGGTTGTGTGCCTATTACAGAGCTTAGCCATTAAGATGCAATGGTTCTGTTAAATAATTCAGAGACTACTGATTGGTGGCTGGTTGAACGGTCTCTGCGCTCACGACGCACTTGACCCCTATGTGACAAGTAGGACGGCTGTACCCTCGAGTCTGCCTGAGTGTACCTGAAGTTTTTTTGTTCAGCCATGATAACCTTGTGAAACCAACAAGCCATGAAATCAGGAGACAATGATTTTCGAGTCAAACATATTATTTTAAATATTAGAAAAAAAGTACACAGCATTCATACTCAGCAAATATCAAGCTCTCGCAGTTTTTTAACTTGTGACCTAGTCATCATGTGCTTTCGAATGACATCAGAAAATTTAGGAAGTCCGGCTAATTGATAGCCCATGGGTAAAAGGCAATTGATTCGTGAGTTAAGTCGACTCGACCTTTCAAATGACTCCTCGGGAGTATTCGTGGAGGGGTGGTAGGCGAGAAGGTCAAGACCCAATTCCAAACCTTGACCATAGTCGCCTTCATCATTCGCAAATTGGACAAACGTCATTAACTCATCAAGCCTAGCAGTGTTTGGCATATTAGCATTGGTAGCATTGTCTAGAGAAGCAATCAATTCGCCTGAAAAATATAGACCGTGTCAAATAAATAAGTTGATTCAACCTTTAGAAAATAGATAAGTAACACAATTGCTAATAAGACGTAATATACAATAATAGTGCGTAGTAGAGAATCAAAGTGACAATCAACTACTCAACAACTTTGAGTAGAGTATATACAAACTCATCAGGAAACGCAGAGATAAGATGACGAAAATTGGATTTTGGAGGAATTGAATAAAATGTCACAAAAATTTCTGATATCCAAGTCTGATAAGCTATAACCACATGAACCGTTTAGTAACATGGAAGGAAATTCCACTTTCACAACCCGAAGTGACAAGGCCAGCAACAATAATTAACAAATAAATCAAGAAGCATAGAAAATGAATGTCACCTTGACTTTACCCTTAACTTTTCCATCACCATCCATCATTCTTATTCCATTGCAAAAAAGTTTTTGGACTTTTATGAAAAGATGTGCAGAAGAAATAAAGTGAAATTCATATTAGCGTGAATTCGTTATAAATCCCTATTTGAATACCGTCCTATCCTTTAGAGAGACCATCTACAATTTCAATTGTTCAGATGACTTGGCATTATTAAAACTAAGATTGCTGGCATGTATAATTGTTTGGGGGAGTGGGAATAATTTGTTTCAGCAACTCAGTTCCTAATCTAACAAAATTGAAAAAAATTAAACTATTTGCATAGTAATGTGGAAAAAATACGTACTATTAGTAGCATTCACAGGTCGATAACCAATATCACCATGAAGCTTAATTTCAATTCCGACCTCATTAAGAGTTTTGCAAGTCGGTTTTCTTTTGACGGAGTTCTTCTTCACAAGTGTTAATCTGTTTTCTTTTACAAATGTCATCAATTTTTGATAAATATCCGACTTTTTCTTTTTCTTCTGTTCAAGATATTCACTAAGAAGAATACATTAATAAGTGATAGGAAAGTACAATATGGCAGCGAAAATATCACCTCCTACAATTACTAATTTTCCTGATTCCTGTGGACTTGACGAAGCCAAAAATTTTGGCACTTCTGTGTAATCATCTCTAATGTAGAAAAAAAAAATATTGAAAAAAAGACATACCTGAAGTACCCTATGTGAAATGGGTGTTCACCATCCTCAGTTAAAACGGTGACAAATTCAGGTGGGTCGTGGAAATAGCGGTAATAATCGGTTAGACAATCATACCCAGAACAAGAGTTCTTATCAGCTAGAACTTCAAATGGCCCGACAAGTCTCAAGCCAGTGTCATGAAATAAAGCGTCTAAAGCCGATTAATTACTCTAATCTAGTGAACCTAAAGGGGCATCAGACGAAATTGAACAACAAAATTGATAAAATTTGAAGAAGTCCGAGGGGCACATCAAAAGGAATTTTGAGTTAATAGCTTGAGCTTTTACATCATGGTTTTCTTTTCCAGCCTCATCTAATTTTGAAAGCTTTGAGCTTTGATTTTTAGACACAAAAGACTTTCGCTTTGGCATTTTCTAAAAGTCAGATTTCCACAATTGTTCCGACCTTGAAAATACTAATTTTTGAAATTTTAAAAGTCTTGGTGAAAAATGAGTATCCTAAATACACTAAAACATAATATTTATAAGCAACTTTCATCTGTAATTATAAATCATAATTTTATGCATATCTGAATGTGTGTCTTCATATCAATGCTCTTTACACTTTCTCTTTATGAATTGATAAACTGCCCCTTATATTCTCAATAAATCTCATTGATAGAATTTTTGCACTTTTATGTAGTTAAACATAACGAGTTTCTCTTCAATGCTATTCATTGTCAAACCACGGAAATTTAATGCTAAGTTTCCAATTTAAGCCATGATGTAAGACCTGGTTCCATATGAATGGCAATAGATTTCGATTTCATTTAACTTGAGTTAAATAGTGATTATACAATAAATGACACGGGTTTTACTGCGAGATTAAACTATGAGAACACTGATCATTGAATTAGTTATATATGAATGCAATGCTGTATAAGTATGTAGTCGACTCTATGGTTACAGAGCTCAAACGACGAAGACTTTTGATAGTACGATAATACTATTTTCTATCTGGGCCACCATTTCGTCTGTCGCTGAATTAATTCACTGGTGTCATTTTTTGAATGCCATTCTATTATGTTTGTGAATTTTAACATGAGTATTTGTAATAATTTTCAATCCTTGGATTCGTCTTGATGAAAAGTCTGTTTTCTCCCATTTCTAATCCGTTAGACACAAATCAACAAAATCGATCATTTTTTTCACTGGAAATGTCCCAGTGAATTTCGTAATTTTGACTAATAACTTGCCGGTCATTAATGTTAATTATTGCATTTAAATGTACATTTAAATGTACTCAACCCCCCTTATTTGAGCTACGAATCCACTCTAATGAATACCACAAATAACGACACTTTTAAGAAGGCCGACATTCTTAAAACTAGGCATGTTATGCAATATTGAAACTTCAATAGTTTTTTCCATTATGAAGCAATTTTAGGAGTCGGGTTGATTTGGTGAGCCTATGAAAAATTTGATATTATTTGTTCCAATTAATCCAGTTACTAATTTACGGTCAATTAGGTTATTCTCGAGTTATTTAGAATTCTTACAGCGCTTTTTTAATCTTTGAATCAAACATAGGATAACTTATAAATTAAGACATAAAATCAATTTCGATTTGATTTTTGGTTTCAAAGGGACTAAATAAGTAAGTTATAAAATCTAATAATACTGGATCTTTCCCCAAAACCTTTGGGCCAATCGATTGGAGGATGACACTAGAATCAAATGCGAGGAAGTGGTAGTAGTATTCGTTTTGCGAGTTAGGGATTCATTCGACTTCCACTATTCATTTGATGTTGGTCCTATCGCAATCGAAACAAATATACTCGAATTGAGTAAGATTGGTTGAATGCTCCATTACCTTGGGTGTGATGTACATTGATTAGGGTTCTAATATTTTTCAGTGGATCCTAGGGAAACTAGCCATCTTTTGAGCAAAGAATGTAAATAATTTGCAGGGGAAAACTAAATCAAACCACCCTTATTTGAAAAATGAACTATTGAACGAAATTGCCAGACGCTACTGTACTTTTGTTGCTACAAGTGCACTAACATAGATTAACAAACCAAACGAGACTTGTCCAACAGCCACTTTCGATTTATGAAATAGATATGATCTTGTTCGTATTGTGACCCACCGCAGAAGGGTGAATCTACCGATGAATAGCGGTTTTAGTTAATGTGAAACCTCTTTCGTGCTTATCATTCAGCGGGAAAAGTTATTGGGGGAGGGGGTAATGACGACTAACTTTGGTTTAG